ACTGGTTTAGTCGAGAAAGTTATGCGTAACTTGGCGGCATGAAACGTCCTCTCGACAGATCTTTTGAGTCGTGTTAGAATATCACCCGCTATGTCGCCTTTAAAGTCAAGTTTCAGATATAAGGTCTTTTTACTGACCGTGTCGCAATGTCTTCTCTTTTTAATACTTTGTACGAGGTATTTTTTGACGAAATTATCCGGATAGCCATTATTACGTAACGTGTTCTTTAGTATAACTATTTCTTCCTCCACACTGTCTTCAGAACATAATACCTTGATTCTGTGGTTGAGACACTTAACCAAATTTATTTTATATTGCAGAGGTGTGAAGCTTTGGAAATGGGTATACTGACCCGTCCATGCTAATATTTTTCTAACCAAACTAGAAAATGGACCGCTTAAAGACATCCTAAACAAGCTTGATTATTACTGTCGATACATAGATGACACATTAATCATATGTGACGAAAATATCGACAAACAGGAGATGTTAGACGCTTTCAATAATGTCCACCCAGCCATTAAATTCACCAGCGAGGAGGAAAAGGACAATAGCATAGCCTTTCTAGATGTCCGACTCTCTAGAAGGATAGATGGTTCCATAAAGCGAAATATGTTTAGAAAGTGTACATGGACGGGTCAGTATACCCATTTCCAAAGCTTCACACCTCTGCAATATAAAATAAATTTGGTTAAGTGTCTCAACCACAGAATCAAGGTATTATGTTCTGAAGACAGTGTGGAGGAAGAAATAGTTATACTAAAGAACACGTTACGTAATAATGGCTATCCGGATAATTTCGTCAAAAAATACCTCGTACAAAGTATTAAAAAGAGAAGACATTGCGACACGGTCAGTAAAAAGACCTTATATCTGAAACTTGACTTTAAAGGCGACATAGCGGGTGATATTCTAACACGACTCAAAAGATCTGTCGAGAGGACGTTTCATGCCGCCAAGTTACGCATAACTTTCTCGACTAAACCAGTACTCACACAACTAATCAAGGATAAGTTACCGAAGATGGGCTCCTCCATGTGTGTATACCAATTCAACTGCTCCTGTGGAGCTAGTTACATAGGCCGTACTCAGAGGGCTTTATCCTTGCGTGTTCGTGAACATGTACCAGCATGGTTGGGAAAAGGAGTCACCAAATCAATTAACAGCACCATTCTTTCTCACTTGGTGGATAGTGAACATCATATTAAAATAGAGGAAGCTTTCTCTGTTTTATATCAAGTTCCAAAATATCTACCTCAAGGAGCTAGATTACGACTGCTTTACACAGCCGAAGCCATCTGGATCAACTCCAGAAGACCTAACTTATGCATCCAGAAAAAATATATCCAGCCTTTATGTTTACCCTGGCCTACGACTAGATCACCAAATACCTAGACTGAATATTATAAACCTCTTACCCCTTCCTTCATTTTATTTATTTTCCTTATTATCATTATTTGTCATTATATATATCTTAATCTTCATATCCATCACTCCCAATTTGTTGACCGTAATTACCTTGATAACACCCCCCTTATTACATATTATATTCACACAACATTATTATTATTATCTCAGTTGACAAAATTATTTTCAATTTTGCAATAGTACTATTATATTATCTTATTGTGACTGAACAATTTACTGACCTTTATTGAATGAACTTTCTAATTTGCAAATATTACAATTTTTTGAAGTATATATATATATATATATATATCGTAACAGATGCAAACGTTCACCATTTTTAACACATAACATTGTCAAACTCATTAAAACATGCCTTATTTTTGGCCTTTGTAAAATATTATAATTATGGACTTATAACTGTAGAGCCTGATGATGAAGTTATTGAAAACAATTGTTCGCTCAAATATTCTTCGTTTTTGAAGATACTGAGGTGTTAGCTGGAGATGTACGTGCACAGGTGGCGGTTCTAGACACAGAAGAGTCGTTTGGATAGCCAAGGCCGAATCGTTGGTCGCAAGTCAGATAACGGTGACCTACACCTGTAGCTATATGCAGACCACAACCTGTCTATGGCCACTACTAACTTTCGGGACAGTCATTGCTAATGCGCTACCTGGAGTCCTCCCTCTGCATCTCAGCATTGGACTCAGTTTGATGACGTCGCGATCAGCTACCGCAGGCGTGGTCGTGTAAAAGACTGCCGCTCCTATTGGAGCACCTACCTGGAATCCAATCATGCCCTCGTTTGCGAAAATCTTACGTTCTATTGGCCAAGTTCATCAAATGGATTGTTGTAAACAAGCCGGCTTCAGCTTCCGTTCCAGTCAAATATCGAACTGAGCTATGTGCAAGGCTAGTTATCAACTTACGAAAATTTATAGATGAGCACTGGCTGTATTCGCATGACGCAACAAAAAGTGGTGATTAAAGTTGTTCGATGTTTAAATAGGCTCCTTATAACTCCTTGAGGCGAATCGGTCTACTCCCACTAACCACGAGTTTGAGATGGGTCCTTACATGAAGAAATCGTGCTAATTTTGCGTAAGGATCGAGAAGTCTGGTGGTTTGAGCGTGTTATCTAGTTGAAAGAAGCGTTTGCATCTGATAACTACCGGAAGCTCTTCCAACTCGTCCGAACCACTGGCAGCAAGAAATGCTGTGTGAGGGAAATAACATATGAAGCTGATAGGGTGCCAATCAATATCACCCACCAGTGTCTTAGGAGATGGACTTAGTTCTTCAAGGAGAAGTTCAGGTCGTCTGCTGCTTTGACGGAATCGGTCAGACCGTCTTGTCCTCCATTGCCAACGACGACTGATTCTCCTAACGATTCAGAAGTTTTCATGGAACTCCAGCATTATTATTATTGATGGCTTTATTCAATATTATATTTTGGTACAATATAGAATTCTCAGCATCCGAATAACATTGTCATAAAACCCAGAAGATTTACTTTCAGGCCTTTTTAAGGACGGTCGAGAACCTCTAGTCATGAAACTGACTAGATTGTTTCGAAGTGTTTGGGAATTAGAATGTTTCGATATCCTGGAATTAAGCGACAGTTCCCTAACTTTAGAATGACTCACGTCATCTGCGCAACAACTATTGGACGGTAAGTCTACTTCCAATCGGGTCCAAATTATCGACATATTGTTCAGAACCCTCGAATGATTGATTCGAGAGGAACAGGTTAGTTTTGTTCTGGTTGAGGATGGGTTGATCATATGTTCATGCTCCGCTAAATGTTAGATCACCGTCGTACTTATTGAAGGCGAAGCATCGTTTTTTCCCCGATATCAGGGTCGCCTTTTATTTATTGAACAGCACTGTCCTCTGTGATTGTTTGTCGAAAAAGGGTGTGCTTGTGAAGCTCATTAACATATTGAAGACACTGTAGAATCACCTCAGTCAGTGTGAAAGCATGCAACTACCTCTCCACCTAACTCCATCCGAGTAGTTGGGTTAGTCAGAGTTGCCCGATCTCATTATTCATGTCCAACTCTGCCTAAAGTCACATTCTGAAAACAGCTCTGTTAGAAGTATGTAGTGGTGATGCGTATCTGTTACCTGAAGAAAGACTCTTCCACGTTGAGTATGCGGATGATGTAGTCTTACTGTGCGAGGATATCTATGCCATGCGATCCGCACTTGGTTGGAAGTGTCCGTAGGTATGGTACGTGCTCTGCACCTAAGTGCAAAACACATGTACGGGACTGACAGGAGCCTGTACCTGCACTCACTCTTGGAAGTGGACGGTTAGATGTAGTCGAGAAGTCCGTGAATTCGGGTAGCTGTTTAAGTTCAGGTGATGATACTAATTTACGTATAGTGAAATACAGAGTGGCTTATCTCAAACTGGGGCATCTCTGGTGCCTTCGCGATGTTGGTCTTGTTGTAAAAGGTCGAGTTTACAACGCGTTCTGCTGTATGGTTGTGCAACCTGGCTTCCGAGTTGAGGATCTTAAGTGATTATCGTTGTCTCTAAAGATTTCTGACATTCAGTGGCAACACCATGCTAGGAACACAGAAGTTCAGGGATGTGTGTTCGATTGTAGTGACAACAATCCGATTGGTATCACCATCTTGAAACAGCGAATTTAGTGGCCTGGATATGCATTACGAATGTCGTCCCATGTCGTGCATCATTTGCCAACGCTGAGACTTGTTGGGAAAAGCGGAGGTGTGGTCGGTGTATGACATGGTGTCGCAGTATGAAGTAATGCTCTACAGGACTATCGTGCTTTTCCAAACCGATACCGTTGACGAAGCTGTTTAACAATTGTTTTGTCGTAATTTGGGACTTCTGACCATGTACACCATTAACTGAAGCTAGGAGTCATCGGCCATCAGGATTCATCTCCTTCTCTCAAACCTGAAATTGGATGTTTAAAAGTCTGAAATCAAGATTAATCGTACACTTATAATTTTTAATAAAACATATCTTCAAAATAGTTGACTATGCAAAACAACCATCTTTTAGTAACAATAAATCTTCTGTGAATGAAACTTTGAGGTACACTAACGTTAGTACCTTTAGAACCAATAAATGTTTTTGCTCCCAGTCGAATACGATTAATCCCGCTTTCTTAACCTCTATGTACTGTAAATGACCAACATTTATTTAATTAAAGTTTCAGTTCGTGGTTTAACTTCACTCCAAGATTTCGTACACTCGGTATACTTCAATTTATTCCACTAAAGACTCAGCAATAGGATTATTCATAATTAAACAAATATATTTTGCACTAAGAGAAGCATCAGGTTATTTGGATTGAATATTGCCCACCTAACAAGTAAAGCTGGTTCATTTTTCTTATCAGATTTCTCGTGAATATGTTTATGTGAATCCGTAGTCGGAGCCTTTAGCTGATCCTGCTTTCATATTGTCACCAAGATATTAGAATAAAGGTTTCTTCTATTTCGAAACTTAATCTAGTCAAGTACTAGTTGTAAGTTAGCCATATGTATCTTTTTTATTTTCAGAATCTGTTAGGAACTTTAATTTGTGTTTGTTTCACTTTTTAAGGACTATGGCATCTAGTGAGGAATATCCTTCGCCATTAGGAAATCTACCACTTCAGTCGTCGGCTAAACGGATTTCCAAAGCTCGTAAATCTTGTTCCGGAGATCACCAAAATTGCAGTCCGGTTAGAAAAAATCATATTGACGACTCAAACAGCATTATCTTCACTCCTTCCATTGATAGTCGAGAACTTGATCGTCTAAAATTCACTAACCCAGGTAGACAGATGGAAGAACTAGAAGTCGGTTGGTCCGAAGCAAATATGACACGGAGTGTTCGCAGACAAATGACCGTTAAATCTGGTCACAAATCATCAGAGTAAATTAATGTCTTATGATAGTCAATTTCCATTGTAATTCTGAGCCACTAACAGTTTTATTTTTTTTTAGCTTCAGGATGTGTTGTTGTATACATTTGATTGGCATAAACGTTTTATAAATTTAAAACAATTAGTCCCTTTGATAAATTTCGATAATGCAATGAGAAGACGTAGTTTATCAGAATTATGTGATATACTTGCGCAATACATTTCAAACAATCTGATCACACACAAATTTTTCTAAACATTCTACACTTGTGTTTGTATGACTACCCCATAACAAGAATGAGGGAAATTATATTATTCATTTGAAGACCATTTAAGTCATCCAATATCCTTCAATATCTGGATACTTTATTATTGGACAATCGTCTTCTGGTTATTGTACAACACTTTAAAATACAATATTTTTGGTTTTCTTCATTCATCATGAATCAATTCATTGTTTTCGAATTATGCTCTTTGAAAATATCGCTTTATAAACCCAAGTGTTTTGAATTTTGCATTTCTGGAAATCTAGTTGTATGTACTATGAGTCGGCTACTGTTTAATCAAATGAATGTCAATGCAGTGACTAGGTAGATAATCTACCGGGTCTGGGATCCGTTGTTTGTTGAACTATTTCGTCCTCATATTTCATCAGTTGGTTGCTAACTCGTTCTTTTCTTATTGGCCGATGTGATTGCAACTGTCCGAGAAAACTGTATTGGTCATTCTGGCATTTGTTCGCGCTCAATATTAACTGTTGTTAGTGGTTTTATCTCCGTAAATTATTGTTGGGTTCACTCGGATAATGCACACAAGAGCGATTGGAGTCAGACTGTCTTATCTCCAGATTTTTCAAAATATTACTTACGTGTATTTTACTAAATTTAAATCCAAGGAAGTGTTCAGCACAAACCAACATTCCACTGGTCGACCTTTTCTCCGACATGTTATCCAAATGTCATACCTCCACAACTATTGCGAAAAGGATTTCGGCCACTCTTCGTGTCACTGTATTCACACTGACTTCCACCGTATCCTCCAGAAGTCATGTTTCCCTGCTCACCATGTCCAAGTTCACCGAAACCGCCCTGTGCAGTTTAATTTATGCCTCTACATTTCCGTTTCTTGAATGCACTATATCCGCCTTGACTAATTTAACCTCCGTTTACAGAACCACTATAACCTCATGCAGGACCCAAAATACCATTATGACTAACACAGGCCACTGGTTACAAAAATGGACGGCCGATCATTTCTCGTTAATCATATTCGAGAGGTGCGTTTCCACTTGTTCCATCATTGGAACGAGGTCCTCGATCACGAACTTTGAGGATGTGCCCACTATTCATGACCAGAATGTTACTACTTATCATATACGTAATGCCATGTTTTGACCTGTTTGCGCCAAGCATTCCTTGGGTCAAGCTTTTTAGAATAGCCAGCTCCGGCTAGCTACAGTATAAGCCTGACTCTCGCGAATCAATATGTGGAAGTCGATTATATTTTTGTCCTCGTTCATATCCCTTTGTGAGTACTCATTTCGTCTTACACAGCATGAAATTCTCTCGCTATCTATTATGCATTTGCTCGCAAAGTTTGAGATTCATTCTATCTTTTACTTGCTAAAAACTTTCATCATATTATATCAAATGATCTGCAGGTCACATTTAACAATCAGCATCCGTTCAACGTATATCCTTTCGGAAATATTCAGCCTGGTACTATTCGAAGACCACATTTCAAAAATAATTTCCCTACGTTTTCCAACCATCATCTCCCAAGAATAAAAAACTCAGTAGAAGCATCAATCGTTTTGCGGCAAAATGCTCTAATTTCTGTGATCAACTATTTCGTTTGTTTCTCGAATTGTCTCGTTTCATGGCAGATGGCCAGATTTGCTCTTCAACGGCTGTGCAAACTTAAGTTTTGATGGGACGACACAGTTTGTAGAGAAGGACATAAAACATGGACGAAGTGGATAGCGGAAGCAATACATCTACAACGTATTGCTCTAACAAGGTCGTTAAACGCAACAAGCTATTCTACAATCGAACTTCGAATGTTCAGTGATGCTTCAAGGGATAACTGTGGAGCAGTAGGATCTTTATCGCTGACTGATGAGCGAGAAGATCGAGCTTACCGACTAGTGTTTGCTGAAGCCAGATCAGCACTTATCAAAGTGATAAACGGACCATGTCTTGCTTTGGCGGAGGGAGTTTGCTGGTAAAGATCTCAAAATTAGTCTGTAAATAAATGACCATCACTGTATCCTGGATGGCGTACTAGACCCTTACTTATGGTGCTTTATAATATAAATAATTATTTTAAGGAGATTTCCAATAATTCTGTTAATAGATTATTGTGCATGCAATTAGAGCATTTTCATTTGTCGCTGTAATAATGCTTTTTCAACAAAGACATATCAACATAGTATTTATTGGACATGTGAATAGTAGAGAGTTCACTATTGCTGAGCATCTGGTGCACAAATGGTGTGGTATTGACAAATATGCTGTCAGTAAGTTGGAGAAAAGGCTTCTGAGATGCATAAAAGTTCTTCTAAGTATGTTTGGATAAATCAAAGCATAAACACAAACGTGTTATCACTTGATACAAGCAGCTACAACGCCGTGGACCCCCCGGACCATGAGAAACTTATTAGTAAGACGGGCTCAACTACAATTACGTCTGCGCCAACCCCCGGTTGGTACGGTAACAATATGTTTGACAGGAGGCCGAACGTGGTGTTATATTAATGTGTGTAGGTGATAGAAGTGAATTATATAAATGGCATCACTAATTCTAATTATACTCTCTTAGAAGCTTTAAATAAAATGGAGCCTTCATTAGTACCATTCCACTTTTGAGCATAGACTCAAATGTAACAACCACCGGTATGAACCAGTGATCAAATGTTCCAAAAATCATAACACGAGTAAACAGGTAGCTATCAGCAGAAGGTATGCCAACAAATATTCAATACTTCAAATATAGTTTGACTGGTTTTTTTGTTTCACTAGTACCATCAAATATATGTTGATTCCAACTTTATAAAATTGGAAATGTCATTTTAAAATAGAAGTGTGACTAAGGCTGAAAGAAAAATTTATCTGCAAACGAGGAGACACTAGAAAAATTGGGAGGAAGAACAAGTGCCACCAACAGACTGGAAAGAAGGATATCTCATCAAGATACCAAAAAGACGAGATCTGAGCAAAAGTGAGAACTACAGAGGCATCACACTACTATCGGTACCAGGAAACGTTCTCAACAGTGCCGCTGGACCAGATGAAAGATTCAGTAGACACCCGACTTCCAGATCAACAGACCGGATTCCGTGGGGATCGGTCGTGCACAGACCAAATCGCGACACTAACGATCATCGTTGAGCAATCAATTGAATGGAACTCGTCACTATACATCAACTTCCTTAACTATGAGAAGCTATTTGACAGCATGGATAGGAGAACCTTATGGACTCTTTTTTGACACTATGGTGTAGCTGAGATTTTCAAGGTCGTACGGAATTCTTGCGATGGACTACACTGCAAAGTCTTGGATGGTTGGTTGCTAACAGACATATACTAAGACCGGTGTCAGACAAGGTTGCTTACCCTCACGTTTCCTCTTTCTCCTGGTGGTCGACTGGATTATGAAGACCTACACATCTGAGGGGAAGCACGCAATTCAGTGGACAGTTCAAAACCAATTAGACGATTTGGTCTTCTCAGATGACCTAACCCTCCTATTCCATACACACGAACTAGTGTAGAAGCGGCCTCTGCATCAGTAGGCCTCAGTATACACAAGGGAAGAAGTAAGGTCCTCAAATACAACAAGGAGAACACCAACCCAATCACATTTGATGGAGAAACTCTGGAAGCATCATTGATGAACAAGGAGGACCCGACACAGACGTGAAGTCAAGGATTGGCATAGCAAGAACAGCATTCCTACAGCTGAAGAACATATGGAACTCAAAACAACTGTCAACCAATATCAAAGTCAGAATGCTCAATACGAACGTCAAGACAGTTCTACTGTACGGAGCTGGAACTTGTAGAACTACCACAAACATCATCAAAAATGTGCAAGTATTTATAAACAATTGTTTACGCACGACACTCAATGTGCATTGGTTGGATACCATCAACAACAGTCTACTGTGGGAGAGAACAAACCAACTTCCAGCTGAAGAGGAAATTAAGCAAAGACGTTAAAAGTGGATAGAACATACATTGAGGAAATCAAACTGCATCACGAGGCAAGCTCTAACTTGGAATCCTGAATGGAAACGGAAAAGAGGAGTACCAAAGAACACACTACGTCGGGAAACGGAAGCAGATATGATAAGGATGAATAACAATTAGAAAGGGTTGTCGAGGACAGAGTTGGATGGAGGATGCTGATGGTTTGCCTATGCTTCTTCATGAGGTCAGCTGAATAGGAAGTCAGGAAGCCGATTTTTTTGAAGAATACATTTACCTTAATTTTACTGATCATTTTATTAGTACTCACTACTCTATGGTCTTGCTGCTCTAGTTTTAAAACAGGCAGTGGCTATTATTGTGATAAATGGGATGAGATGCGAGCGAGATGAAAGTACATTTTTCGGGTTCTTTTTCTGACCTGAGGTAGGTTATTCTAGCTTGGCTATGAATGCATTTTTTATCACTAAGAAATATTTTCCCTGGTCTATTTGTTAACTTCCTGTTTTCATCTACTGTTAACAGTCGGTTGCATCCGTTATACGATTCTCGTGGCCGCCTTTTAGGAACTTTAGAATATAATTGTGATTGCCTAAAATCTGAATGTCCTGGGTGCCATTTGCCATGTCGTAGGTGCCATTCTACGTTTTGTGGAGCATCATGTCGAATTTATCGAACTTATCGTGTTAATGAAGTAAGTTCCTAATCGTTTCATATTAACGTTTTCTTCATCCGTTGAAAGGTTATGTTATTCAAGTTATTACAATTTTTAATACTCTTTTCTATTAAATTGTATTGGAGAGAAGTCTGATGTTCGTGGATTTATCTTCGTCCACAGTTCGTTTGCTATCGGCAGTTTGATAGTTGACGTACTCGGAGCTTAGCCTTTTGGCTACAGACGTGGAACCCACCTCAGCTACTATAGATCGTATCACAAAAAATATCCCAATACCTTACAGAAATTTGTATTCGAAAGGGGAATTGCAGGAACTTGTATTTGATTATTGAGTTCCATTAATAAAATTTATCTTTATGTAAATATCATTTAGTTAATACAACTGTTAGTGACATTAATGGTTTAAAATACAGTGCAGTCGTGATCGGAATTTCTCTAATTGAGTTGTAAAGTAGATAAAACGTATCTTAAAGAAGCAGAGAAAACTGGGTTGCACGCTTCTTTGTGGGATTTAGGCTACCCTTATAAGTAACCTTCAAAAGAAGTCCTTTAACAGCAGATGAATATCTTCCCATCGCCTGGTTTATCAACATATATTTCAATCGTATCACTGGTTTTATTGTGTAATAAAATCGATTGATAATAAATAAGCCTTGCTTAAAACTAACAACGTTTATCTTGTGGTAGTTTATTGATATACTGGATGACAGTTTTGAAAGTGAAAAGTCATTGTATTGACTACTGAACTCAATTTTGAAAATAATTTCTGTTCACATGTGTTTTTTCACACCCGATGATGTTTTGATTGTTGGGATTTAGAGTGTGAGCTATTTTCTATTGTTTATAACTTGATATTTCTGTTTGACCTGAAATTTCAAATTAACGTATCTTCATTTCAATGTGCATTAATTGTCCAAATACTCTAATATTCACAATCATTTTGTTATGAAAGTATTGAGTTAGTTACTAGTTGTGAAATTCAGAGGATACTGTAGGTTCATCTCGTGATAGTACTAATCGCAATTCTAATTTGGGTATATTCAGTTGGAAGTGTTTAAGAAGGATGATAAGCATTTCTTAAATCTAGATTTAAACCATAAGCAAAATATGTTTTGACTTATTATGTTGAACTGATATCATTATCATTAAATTGAATCTAGTTCATGCAAATTTTCCTACTTGGAGGCTATTGTTTATGGTCCTGTAGTGACCTGGTCTTTTTGGACTTCATCATTGTTACTGACTTCTCTTTCTCTTTAGCTGGAAAAACTAGCAAATAGCTGTTACGTTGAGACAGTAACTTGATAAATTTACATGTCTGTACTTACCTATATTTTTAATAAAAGTAAAGGAATATTAAACAACTAAATCTTGGTCTCTAATTCTATTAGTTACTTTGTATTTGTTTGAACAGCTATTTCTCAACTCTTTTATCCATGTACGTTTTAGGTGTTTATACAAATATTTGTTTATTTGTCTAACAAACTATCTGCTTGTATTAATATATCAGATTATACTTTTTCTATCCATTCAATATTATTGCATTGGATTGGACGATTGACCGATTGATTATTTGGATTAATAATATTCTGAATATAATAATACTCTTGTCGTCATTGTGTTTATACCACTGTGGTTATTTTTTAAATTGGAAATGCAACTAGAAATCCGAAGTAATTGAATACAAAAAGCACGCCCCATATATTTGTGGCAATGAGTAGATTTTTTCCATGTTAAAGATTACTCCAAAAATCCTAGCATTGCTTTTCAAAGCTGAATGCTACAGTTAAGTACCTTTGTATTCAATCCTAATTTGACATATATATACATATCACATCGAATGTCTGAGACAAAATGAGTAGATTATTCCCTCATGGTTGTTCAACTGAAAATAACTAATGATTAGAATCACCATGTGTACTCCCTTTCGTGCTCGTTAAACTGAAACATAATTTCTTACATTTTTTTGTTGAAAATTACTAACTTTCAATAATAACGATGGACTACTGATGTACTGACATTTCGCAAAATATAAAAGCTCACTCATGAGACTCACTAAAAATTAACAGTTGTTAGAAAACCGTGTTCATATTATCGGAGAACTCTTGCTTCAAAGTTAGCCATCCCTTATCAAATGATTTAAATCGCAGTATGAAGAAATACCTTGTATTGTATTTGACATCTGGTATTTCCCTTCATTTGGAAAATCGGTAAGACTATAAACCCATTTAATTCAACAGCAGTCTTTTGCTTGTTGAATCGAGTTAAACATAATTTTAAGTTATCTTGTTTACTTTCTCGTCTTTATTTTAGGTTAAACTGTTTATCTGACTTCATGAGTTCAATCGTTTGTCGATATCCACCACTACAGTTTCTAACCATCATTTTTTCCAAATAAATTATTATTATTATTATTCAATGAGAGTCTTATATTTCTTCGATTACTTAAAATATCGATTATCTCAGAAAAAAACGCGTGTGTTTTTCGAATATGGCATGAACATTTTAATTGTCTTCGCTCAAGCATACTGCCATTCCTTTATCATGATTATTATTCATACCCTTCATTAAAGTTATAATGAAAAGTGTTTTGCAGGACATAGTTCTCAGTGTGGACTGTTCATCTTATAACTGATAACAAATATTGATTGGAGGAATGTTTGATAACTGAAAGTACCACTAAATTATTTACATTCTTCCAAAATTACTAGTTATTTTGTATGTTTCGTACGTTTAATGCAGTCTTTTGAACTGGTTTCGATTGTTTAACGTTCACTGGATAAAAGTCGATTTTTCGAACTACTTTATGTCGTCATGTAAGCTGTTTATCTTGCTTAATAATATCATATTTAAAGGAAATTGAAATTTTTTTCTCAGTGCTCGAAATTTAAGAAGAATTTTGAAAAAGAACTTAATATAATTATGTGCGTTGTTAATTATGTTGTTCAGATTTGGACTTGAAAAGTTCACGAAATCATCACCAACCTATACGACTGTATATATATATATATATATATATATATATATATATATATATATATATATATATATATATATATATATATATATATATATATATATATATATACTTCACTGTCGCAAATTTAGTTGACTTTCAGTGTTGAGTCGAATCTCTATATGAAATCGAAATTCACACTTTTGCCGCCTTTATACGTTTTAGAGCTAGTACAGTTAAGAATTTATGAAATCTGTCCTCACCCTATATCCTGTCTATAGGTCTTCCGATTTCTGATCATAACTAAAAACACATAATCCAGATTATTACCACGGTAATGATAATACTGAGTTTGTTACAAATATCCTGTATTCAAATTCTTCCAAGAAACAGTCAGAACCTGCAATGAATAGATACACTGTGAACTATAATTCCTGACATACTTCGTTAGAATTCGTTGCGTCTAAGAAATTCGTTTTCGCTCCCTCCATTTAAAAATAAATAAAGCTAATTCTTACTTACTCCTGCTACCCTCATAAAGGAACATAGGCAGCCCATCAGCATCCTCCATCCAACTCTGTCCTCGACAACCCTTTCTAATTGTTATTCATCCTTATCATATCTGCTTCCGTTTCCCGACGTAGTGTGTTCTTTGGTACTCCTCTTTTCCGTTTCCATTCAGGATTCCAAGTTAGAGCTTGCCTCGTGATGCAGTTTGATTTCCTCAATGTATGTTCTATCCACTTCTAACGTCTTTGCTTAATTTCCTCTTCAGCTGGAAGTTGGTTTGTTCTCTCCCACAGTAGACTGTTGTTGATGGTATCCAACCAATGCACATTGAGTGTCGTGCGTAAACAATTGTTTATAAATACTTGCACATTTTTGATGATGTTTGTGGTAGTTCTACAAGTTCCAGCTCCGTACAGTAGAACTGTCTTGACGTTCGTATTGAGCATTCTGACTTTGATATTGGTTGACAGTTGTTTTGAGTTCCATATGTTCTTCAGCTGTAGGAATGCTGTTCTTGCTATGCCAATCCTTGACTTCACGTCTGTGTCGGGTCCTCCTTGTTCATCAATGATGCTTCCAGAGTTTCTCCATCAAATGTGATTGGGTTGGTGTTCTCCTTGTTGTATTTGAGGACCTTACTTCTTCCCTTGTGTATACTGAGGCCTACTGATGCAGAGGCCGCTTCTACACTAGTTCGTGTGTATGGAATAGGAGGGTTAGGTCATCTGCGAAGACCAAATCGTCTAATTGGTTTTGAACTGTCCACTGAATTGCGTGCTTCCCCTCAGATGTGTAGGTCTTCATAATCCAGTCGACCACCAGGAGAAAGAGGAAACGTGAGGGTAAGCAACCTTGTCTGACACCGGTCTTAGTATATGTCTGTTAGCAACCAACCATCCAAGACTTTGCAGTGTAGTCCATCGCAAGAATTCCGTACGACCTTGAAAATCTCAGCTACACCATAGTGTCAAAAAAGAGTCCATAAGGTTCTCCTATCCATGCTGTCAAATAGCTTCTCATAGTTAAGGAAGTTGATGTATAGTGACGAGTTCCATTCAATTGATTGCTCAACGATGATCGTTAGTGTCGCGATTTGGTCTGTGCACGACCGATCCCCACGGAATCCGGTCTGTTGATCTGGAAGTCGGGTGTCTACTGAATCTTTCATCTGGTCCAGCGGCACTGTTGAGAACGTTTCCTGGTACCGATAGTAGTGTGATGCCTCTGTAGTTCTCACTTTTGCTCAGATCTCGTCTTTTTGGTATCTTGATGAGATATCCTTCTTTCCAGTCTGTTGGTGGCACTTGTTCTTCCTCCCAATTTTTCTAGTGTCTCCTCGTTTGCAGATAAATTTTTCTTTCAGCCTTAGTCACACTTCTATTTTAAAATGACATTTCCAATTTTATAAAGTTGGAATCAACATATATTTGATGGTACTAGTGAAACAAAAAAACCAGTCAAACTATATTTGAAGTATTGAATATTTGTTGGCATACCTTCTGCTGATAGCTACCTGTTTACTCGTGTTATGATTTTTGGAACATTTGATCACTGGTTCATACCGGTGGTTGTTACATTTGAGTCTATGCTCAAAAGTGGAATGGTACTAATGAAGGCTCCATTTTATTTAAAGCTTCTAAGAGAGTATAATTAGAATTAGTGATGCCATTTATATAATTCACTTCTATCACCTACACACATTAATATAACACCACGTTCGGCCTCCTGTCAAACATATTGTTACCGTACCAACCGGGGGTTGGCGCAGACGTAATTGTAGTTGAGCCCGTCTTACTAATAAGTTTCTCATGGTCCGGGGGGTCCACGGCGTTGTAGCTGCTTGTATCAAGTGATAACACGTTTGTGTTTATGCTTTGATTTATCCAAACATACTTAGAAGAACTTTTATGCATCTCAGAAGCCTTTTCTCCAACTTACTGACAGCATATTTGTCAATACCACACCATTTGTGCACCAGATGCTCAGCAATAGTGAACTCTCTACTATTCACATGTCCAATAAATACTATGTTGATATGTCTTTGTTGAAAAAGCATTATTACAGCGACAAATGAAAATGCTCTAATTGCATGCACAATAATCTATTAACAGAATTATTGGAAATCTCCTTAAAATAATTATTTATATTATAAAGCACCATAAGTAAGGGTCTAGTACGCCATCCTGGATACAGTGATGGTCATTTATTTACAGACTAATTTTGAGATCTTTACCAGCAAACTCCCTCCGCCAAAGCAAGACATGGTCCGTTTATCACTTTGATAAGTGCTGATCTGGCTTCAGCAAACACTAGTCGGTAAGCTCGATCTTCTCGCTCATCAGTCAGCGATAAAGATCCTACTGCTCCACAGTTATCCCTTGAAGCATCACTGAACATTCGAAGTTCGATTGTAGAATAGCTTGTTGCGTTTAACGACCTTGTTAGAGCAATACGTTGTAGATGTATTGCTTCCGCTATCCACTTCGTCCATGTTTTATGTCCTTCTCTACAAACTGTGTCGTCCCATCAAAACTTAAGTTTGCACAGCCGTTGAAGAGCAAATCTGGCCATCTGCCATGAAACGAGACAATTCGAGAAACAAACGAAATAGTTGATCACAGAAATTAGAGCATTTTGCCGCAAAACGATTGATGCTTCTACTGAGTTTTTTATTCTTGGGAGATGATGGTTGGAAAACGTAGGGAAATTATTTTTGAAATGTGGTCTTCGAATAGTACCAGGCTGAATATTTCCGAAAGGATATACGTTGAACGGATGCTGATTGTTAAATGTGACCTGCAGATCATTTGATATAATATGATGAAAGTTTTTAGCAAGTAAAAGATAGAATGAATCTCAAACTTTGCGAGCAAATGCATAATAGATAGCGAGAGAATTTCATGCTGTGTAAGACGAAATGAGTACTCACAAAGGGATATGAACGAGGACAAAAATATAATCGACTTCCACATATTGATTCGCGAGAGTCAGGCTTATACTGTAGCTAGCCGGAGCTGGCTATTCTAAAAAGCTTGACCCAAGGAATGCTTGGCGCAAACAGGTCAAAACATGGCATTACGTATATGATAAGTAGTAACATTCTGGTCATGAATAGTGGGCACATCCTCAAAGTTCGTGATCGAGGACCTCGTTCCAATGATGGAACAAGTGGAAACGCACCTCTCGAATATGATTAACGAGAAATGATCGGCCGTCCATTTTTGTAACCAGTGGCCTGTGTTAGTCATAATGGTATTTTGGGTCCTGCATGAGGTTATAGTGGTTCTGTAAACGGAGGTTAAATTAGTCAAGGCGGATATAGTGCATTCAAGAAACGGAAATGTAGAGGCATAAATTAAACTGCACAGGGCGGTTTCGGTGAACTTGGACATGGTGAGCAGGGAAACATGACTTCTGGAGGATACGGTGGAAGTCAGTGTGAATACAGTGACACGAAGAGTGGCCGAAATCCTTTTCGCAATAGTTGTGGAGGTATGACATTTGGATAACATGTCGGAGAAAAGGTCGACCAGTGGAATGTTGGTTTGTGCTGAACACTTCCTTGGATTTAAATTTAGTAAAATACACGTAAGTAATATTTTGAAAAATCTGGAGATAAGACAGTCTGACTCCAATCGCTCTTGTGTGCATTATCCGAGTGAACCCAACAATAATTTACGGAGATAAAACCACTAACAACAGTTAATATTGAGCGCGAACAAATGCCAGAATGACCAATACAGTTTTCTCGGACAGTTGCAATCACATCGGCCAATAAGAAAAGAACGAGTTAGCAACCAACTGATGAAATATGAGGACGAAATAGTTTGCACAGCCGTTGAAGAGCAAATCTGGCCATCTACCATGAAAC